CATTTGTAAGAGTAAAAACATTTATACGTATATGATACGAATTTCAATTCAATTTACACAATCAATAAAACAGTGGCAATTTTTCAGTATATTTTTCGAACTAGGTTATCTGTTTAGACACAATTCCCTGCCTTCCTACTTGTTATATTTAATTCTTATCTGTATCATGTAGGCCTTTAATTATTTATTACATAATTATAGTAATGATTTATTAAATGTAACTGTTTATTTACCAGGTTGCCAACTGTCAATCCACATTTTAGATCCAGTTTTTTTTCTATTGCCGTTGAAGAGGACAGCTCAACGTACTGAATGTTCTGCCGTAGCCCGTAGAATAGTTCACTTGGTCCCGTGTCAACAACTAGACTTTTCACGCTGTAATCACTACAAACACTGCACAGGCCAGAAGTTTTATTGTAGCTGAAGGCCACACAATTTGCTGTATGTAGACACGTTCTGGAGCAATCAAGTTGAGATTTTGTTACAACAGGAACAATCTTGCTTTCGTTGCAGCCAGTGTACTCGACAGGTAGATATGTGAAAGTTGTGCCTGGTTGATTGGTGCAGTACTGTCCGTGGCAATACAAATGTAGGAGGCACAACAAAAATTGCCAATACAGAAAAATCATGATGTTCAAGTCATAAATATATAGATGAACAAAACGTTAAGCGATTGATATTTAATTCACCGTTATTTGACAACGATACACAAGTAGTACTTGTTATATATTTTCCAAATGTGTCAGAAAAAACTGTATTGCAATATTTTCTGGATGCCAAAGCATGTGAGCATTAGATATGTTACATTTAAAAGCTCCAACACGACGTTGAAACGTTGCCGTACGTTAAAATATGTGCAACTAATAATTATAAAAATGGAAAAAAAAATCAATAAATAACAATAAATAACAAAACATTTGTATCTGTATCTTGACATTTATTGTTATAGAGATGCCTATCTCAATGTTTTTCTTTGAAAAAAACTTACTTTTATTTCTCGCTAGATATGGCCGTTTGTTGCTCGTAATTATTCATCTGTTGCATTTAATTATTCAGTTGCTAAAGTTAATAACAATAAAAATATCTACGCTGCTACTTGGGTTGAACTATCACAAAGAATGTGTTTACTGTTCTTAATAATATGTATTCATGCACATAGTTTTTAAACTTCTGTATATATATATATATATATATATATATATATATATATATATATATATATATATATATATATATATATATATATATATATATATATATATATATATATATATATATATTCATATTTGTATTTATTTATTATATATACATATATGGTGTAGTTAAAACAGAATATATAAAAATCGCTAACTAGTTTTAGGCCTATTGATTTGACTGTACAATTATCTTTTGTGTGTAAATGAGTGCGACTATACGTACTTGAGTTGCTGCAATGTACTGTGTTTGTGCTCCTGCAAGACATGCGTGCATGCATGATTACATATGATACTGTCTTTGTGCGTTATAGCATGCCTGATGGGTTTTTTTAGTGCTTTTTTGAGTTAGTATGAATGCGTATCTGTGTGTATGCGTTTATTTGTATGTGTGAGCGATAAGGGAAGTGTGTTTGTCCAATCATATTCCCAGTTTAGTGTTATCGAATATATGATCATATACGTTATTGTTGATTTCGTGTTTAAGTGTGTCTCTTTGTGTACAGTTTGTTACTGTTTAGGGGTCATCTTTTTATGGCGTTCACAAAAATTTGTAATTTTAGACCCTCTCGCCACTATGGTGCATACGTTCAATTTAAAGAGGGCAGATGCATGCAACCAATCTCTTGAGACGTTCCGTGTGGTCTCACTTGTTTCCCTTATAAAAACCTCTTAGCGGTTATCAAAGCTATATATTAACACCTTTATAATGTAACATTCAGCTTGGTCGTTAAAGCAGTCTCTATGGTAATATGCTAGTGCAAACTAGGCGGCCGTTTTTTAGTTATAAAGTTGTTGAAAACTGTTTCTAAAGACCTCTATAGTAATTAACATATTATATACACTAACTGATTTGTTAGATTAAACTCTAAGCTTGTCTGAACATAAGATGCAGGAGCTGAAAGGTTGAAACTCGATGTGTGTAGAATAAAAATTACCGGTAAACAGTTTTAATACTTAACAATTTGCATAACTCCCACTGTTTGTAGAAGCGAAGTGCAGTAATGTCTCGCTGGGAATCAGAGAGGGGGACAAATGTCCCCAGGCGCCGACCTTAGGTGGCGCCAAAATGGGTTGGAAAAATAAATTGAAAGGTTGAGAGGGGGGGGGATTGAAATCGAAATCTTGAGGGGGGGGGGTGCAAATCAACAAATCTTGAGGAGGGGTGCAAATCGAAAGTTTGTCCCCGGGCGCCGGGAAGGGTCGCTACGCCTCTGCTGGGAATGCTATAGGCTTGAAAAGTTAATGTGAACATACTAATTTGGTTTAAAATCTTTAAAAAAAATATGGCAAGCGATAAAATTATAGTTACATTTTCAAGAGTTAAGGCTGTTTGGGAACCATCGATTACACTCATTTTAATATTTTTTTATTGATCAGCCGTTAATTATTTTATCAATGCTAATATTAAAAGAAAACCGCCCTCAACCTCTCCGGAATGGCCAAGGAGAGTAAAACAATGAAAATGAAAACAGTTGTATTCCATGATAAAATACATAATAATGGTCACTGGTTTATAGCCTAGTATTGTATTTATCTCATATAATATAGCATCACAACAACACCCTGACTCTACTAAATGTGTTTGCTAAATTATTATTATATTACTGATAATTATTTGTTTGAATATTTCTAGCCTTATTACAATCGAAATACATGTTATACTCATTTCGCAAATATTACAAAAGATTACATTTTGGTTGAAAAATATGCTTTCGGGCAACAAACATTTAGAACCAGCTTTTCAAGCCTATTGTGATCTTGTGTATAGCATTATCACACGCTGTCAACTCAGGAATATGGACATTAAATAAAGAACCATGTTGTCTCTTGAGTCTCTCTGAATAATCATTGAGATAAAATCAGTTTCTGTGTTATTTTTTCATCACTCCATCATCTTGACAGTGGCAGTCAACATAATGAAGATTGACATCCAATAATAATAAAGCAAGTCAGTTGAATGAAGTCGATAGTTCCTGTTGCCTCTCACCATAATGATTTATTAATAAAACAGCATTCGTTTACATTTACCCATTTTCTATTGTCTTGTTCACCAGAAGAATAAAAATGTATACCAATGGGTAATGTGAACAGAAGAGTAAAAAATTACATGTTTTTTAGAAGTATAAAATATAAAATGTTATAGAATAGAGAAAAAATCATAAAAGAATTAAAAAACCAAGTTCATTTATCTAAACAATATTCAGAATCATATAGCCCCCGCTCCGTTTGTCGAAAGTGAAATATTTTATTTTATATTGAATAATACAGTTTGATGTAAACTGTAATCTTTTATAATAAAAAATAAAGTTCTCTTTTCGAATCTGGCGGCACATTGGGCTAGTAGAGTTCACATGTGTCAGTGACCTAGGCATATGACGGGATAGTGTAGTTAGCACTAGGCCCAGTTGTCTCTGCTTTCCATAAGGTGAGTAAAGTATTCACCAAAGAGAAATGGACTTATGGACGTTCTACTAAATGTGAACCCGGATTCGAATTCGAGTGTTTCGAGTTAGCCGTCAAGAGCTGTCCCACAATCTTTCATAATACTCCTGCATTATATATATATTATATATATATATATATATATATATATATATATATATATATATATTTATATATATATATATATAACTCAAAAGGTTAAAGAAAAGTACACACGTAAAATACGAGGTATGTGTTGCATAGTGTTTTATTTCTTCTGTGCCACTCTCACATAATAAGCAGTTTTAAAAAAAAATGTAAAGCTTGTCGAATCTTCACATTACAACATCGATCAAAGTAAGTATGAAATGATGTTTTGGAAAGAAAAAAAAATATTGAAACTTGAGGGCTTATGTAAGTGCATCTAGTTATTAAAATTCGTAGTAATATCACATCTATTGAAGTGTTATTTAAAAAAAAAAACTTCGAATTTCTGCTTTGCTAGCAAACACATATTATTTTAAATGAAAACGATCACAGAAATAGTAAATGTTAATTAGGCATAGCTTATATTTTAAAATTACAAATTTTGAAAACCACTGGATATCTGTGTACTGTCCAATACAGCTGTTAGTCAGAAAATACTATCAATACTATAACATAAAGTTTTCAATAAAAACACGGCAAAAAAATTATTACAAAACCACATCGAAAACCTAAAAATTTTACAATGTCGAAAAAACGTTGGAAATCACGATATTGTGAATACATTTGACTACATTTAAGAGTATATAAAAACTAGGAGCGACAAGAAAATCTAATACTTTTTCACATTTTCAAGTCTTGTCGTAATGAGTTTCAACTCATTCTATAAAATATTTATATTTTAAAATTTATATCTTACTTTAAACACAACGTAATATGTATTGCGACTAAAAACACAAATATTTATAAGCACAACTATAATATGTTAAAAAAGAATGTTATATTTCTTCTAAAATATTGTACGAAAAGGATAAATTTTGAGATCCAAGCAAAATAACACAAGCAATGATTACAATTTTAAATTATTTGTAGGAAATTCTGAAAAAAATGCCATTAATTAACTTAGCACAAAAAGCGAAACTATAATATAATGGGTATTACCTAGATTCAGAGTACAGCTATTTTATATTTGTTTATCAAGGGAAAACCAGAATCGAATTTAAAGAATAATGCAATAGGCCTACTCAAAACAAACACAGCATCAGTAAGAGAAATTACGTGTTCAAGATCTCTGCATCTGTATTTAAATTCCATATAAATTCAAATTTCAAATAACAGATACTGGGAAAATAACTGTTTTTGGTTCCATTTACGATCATCTAAGTTTTTTCTAAAAAGCTAAATACTTAACTGCAAGAGCTGAACAGTCGCTTGCAGCAAAAGATATCTAACTGATGTTGCAGGGAAGATGTATGGGTAGGTGGCCACCAACTTCCCATCAACAAACATTGCCAAGCCATCACCTCGGGTAAGTATGTTGAGAAGAAACTGTTGTCCCACTTGAAACGGGTAGCTGGTGATGTTGGCCGTGGATGCTGTCCCCCAACCGGCATTCCTCTTGTAGTTGAGTGTGATGAAACCATTCTGGGGTCGGAAGTGGAGGAGATAATTGTTCGGGTCTACTTGAACGTTTAAGATAAATCCCGTGTAGGCGGTGAACACTCCCCGGAGAGCAATCTGTTGGGACAAGAATTAAAACACTATTTTTAAACTATGGCTAACACAATGCCTGTTTTCATGGTTCCTTAATTATTAAAATCTTAAAGATTATTTACACACTGTTTTATTTAAGCTAATATTTTGTTGTGACGCGGGTCATAATCCGGGGGAATTCGAAAGTTGTGATTTTGTTGCATAAATCGAAACATAGTATAAGTGTGTTTTATGCTGAAATATTAAACCAATTTTATGAATTTAATTATGTGGCTATAGTACAAAAATCTCATAGTCAGACCAAGCAGTGCCATATTTAGGTTTAAATTCATATTATTCGTTAGACCAAATTACACGTCTTGCTTTCAAGTCAGATTACGAATAAATTATTTTTTTTGTAAATATTTCTAGTTATGACAATAATTATTTCTTAGATTAGACATTCTGCATAGCTCTGTAAAGGCGCAAATAGTGATGGTGAAGCCAAAACATTTTGTTAGCTTTAACAGTAGCACTAACGGGAAAATTTTTGCCATCTCAATAATTGAATTCTAAAGTGACCGAAAAACTCACCTCGACTGACCGTGGCCTTATATAAACTATACATTTTCAAAGTGTTTGAATTTGGTCGACCATTTGCAGATGCGACACAAACGACATTTGTTAAGGAGAAAGCTCTTTTTTCTATGACACAGAAAAATATCAGATTTTTCAGAAAATTCTTATTAATGGATTTAAATAAGGGCCGTTTTACCGCTAAATTTTACCTATTAAAAGGACGTGATTACACCGTAAATTTAAACCTTAAATTTCCCCCGTTCTTTGAAAATACACACACAAAAATAAAGGAGCAAAATATTTGCACTAATACAGATTGAGTCCAGATTTTAAATACTCAGAAAAGAAAATATCAGAATAGACCTACACAAATTGTTTTATTGTAAATCCTAATTCATACTGATTAAAATGATTAAAACAATGTTATAAATATATAAAAAATTCAAAGGTTAAAAGAATGTATTACGCTTGAGAATGTTTTGCACTTACTGTGTACATTAAAAGTTTTGATTTGTTAAAAAAAAAATTAACTAAATTTGACGTTCTTGTTTTTTAACGTGTTTGTTATTGTGGTTAAAAAAAAACAAGGACGTCACATTTTTAAATTTTTTTTTACATATTCGGACATCTTTAAAAGTATACATTTTCCGCGCTATATTTACCATATTTCCAATTGTAAGTCCACAGGGGATATCAAACTGTTTTGTTATGTTGGTTGTAAGAGTTAAGCCGCCAAATTCAAGGTTCTGACGTATTCCGAAGAACGTTTCATCTCCTCCTGTGCCAGGAACTTGACTTTTCACGTTTGTGTCAGTACACATGCTGCACAGTTTAGAAGTTTTATTGTATTTTAAAGACACGCATTTTGCTGTTTGTAGACAAGCTCTGGTGCAATCAATTCGTGATCTTTTTGCGATAGAAATTGCCGTGCTAATGTTGCAGGTAATGTACTTATTTACTTGAAACTGGGATGATTTCACTCTTGTATTTGAGCAGGTTTGTCCGAGGCAAAAATAGATTAGATTGCACAACAAAAATATCCAGTACAGAAGACACATGATAAGTGGCTGCAACTGATTTTATTAAACAAAACTTTAGGTAGAATTTTATCTAGGTTTAAAAATAAATCACGGTCTGTTAATCGTAATGAACAAGTAAAATAATATTTTTCAATTATTTTTTTAAAGTTTTAGAACCAGCTGATGCATACACTTCAACGGCCTTTCGAGTTCTGATTTTAAAACGAAATACCATCACTTATACTGTTCACTTCAATGTATATTTCATGTAGTTCTTTATTTCAAATGACGCCTGTTGAACTGAAATAAAGATTCTAATATTTTGCTTGACACTGTTTTGACAGGTAGAACGTAAAACAAACAAGTACATCAGATTCTAATAAGACTGGACCAACAATAAAATATTTAACAGCTAGTGTAAATCACAGTTTCAGAAAATCAATTTAGCGACCTTTGTGTTGTAAATTGTGAACGTGGACGTCACCAGTTTATTTCAAGCAGCCCTCCGACCCCCTAGAATAGTCTACAGCCCCTTGATTGAAATAGAAAAAGAATATATAGAAAAAAAAGTTCTAGCACAAAAGTTCCCCACCTTCTCCCCGAAGATAATACCCCGCACCCAACCATCCAACGAAATAGAAAGAGACAAAACACATTATATAAAAATTAAATTAGACCAATGTCGTCCCCCCCCCCCCCTCCATCAAAAGAGATTCCATTGTTCTCACCCCCCCCCCCACTTATCCGAACGAAATAGAAATAAAAATGTATATAGAAATTATTTACTTTGACAAGTGCCCTCCCCACATCCGCCTCCTTAGGGGTCGGCGTGGGCGAGTCGGTAAAGCTCATGGTTGCTAAACGGAAAAGTCTCGAGTTCAAACCCTCGGGCAGATGAGGCTCGTTAGCTCGGGACAGCAACTCTTCTAGGAGAGAAAACTCCAAAATCAATTAGTTTGTTCTTGGTTGGACAAATGCTATGGAAGCAAATCCAAAAAGAAAAGCAGGCTGAAATCGGAGTCAATGGTCTCAATGGCGCATGCCCAGTTGACACGTAATCCTTAATTGTGATGGTAGCATGGTCGAGTCGGCAAAGCTCATGGTTGATAACTTCGAAAAAAAAAGTCTCGAGTTCAAATCCTCTGGCAGATAAGCCTCGATCCCTCCCAACACTAAATATTAAGAACGAAGAAGAAGAAGAAGAAGATCCGCCTCCTTGAAGAAAAGTGCCTGATATAATTGCTTGTTATGAATATTTTGCCTTACTTGTAGAGTTTATTTTTTACCTGTTAGTAGTTTGTCTGTATCTAATGAGGGCTAATGGGAATGAGGTATTTAGGGTCACTATGCTATCATTATAATATTTCTGTATATGTCTAAAAGAAAGTGGGGTTTGTCCGGCTGTTTGTTTTTCACACCGTGAATTAGGTCGATAACTTGCAGGTATTATGCTCTTAACAAATGGGGCTTTTAAAATTTAATCTAACGGGAACATTTTTGCCATCTCAATAATTGCATTTTAAAGTGACCGAAAACTGACCTCGACTGCCCGTGACCTTGTATAAACTATACATTTTCAAAGTGTTTGAATTTGGGCGCCCATTTGCAGATGCGACACAAAAGACATTTGGTAAGGGGAAAGCTCTTTTGTCTATGTCACATAGAAAAATATCAGGTTTTTCAGAAAATTCTTATTAAACGATTAAAAAAAGAGCCGTTTTATCGCTTAATTTTACCTATTAAAGGGACGTGATTGCCCCGTCAATTTAAACTTTACATTTCCCCGTTCTTCGAAATAAAGGAGGAAAATATGTTTCAAAGATCTCTCAAAATGATTTAGTAATGACTAATAATTAATTGTTTTTATTTGGTATTGAAACCCTTTCGTTCTTTGCATTAGGTGCGTAATGTTAGAGGCACTAGTAAATTTATTTTCTTTTGGGAATTCCAATATCCTTCTTAACATTGCTATAGAAAATAAAATAGCATAAGAACTAGACTAAAATAAGGTGTGCAAACTCGGTTTCTTTTGACTGCTTAGTTTACTGTGCAATATTCTTAGCTGCAAAGTCAACCAATGTGAACTTTTGACTTTTAAATAAAATTTAACGGTGATATCTTGTGGTAAAAAAATAACACAAATCGCCAGTAATTTTGTTAGATTTTATTGGTCATAGCAAATATAGTATCACCGAGAGAAAATATGTTTTGAGAACTCTGCATTATTATTTTAACTTTATATAATTTAAAATAAAAAAAAATAACAACAAATAATCGGAAGATAAAATGTTCTGATAGAAAAATACCCACGCGACATACTTAGTTCTCCTATCTTTGGGCCTACGTGAAATGCGTGGCTCATCCGTGACACATTTATAATAAACCAAAGTTATCTATTCATATAACCTAAAAACTCAACTGCAAGACATTTAAACTCTCCTGCAAAGCAATATACCGAACCGAAGTTACAGGGAAGTTGTATGGGTAGCTACCCACCTTCTTCCCGTCAACAAACATTTCTAAACTGTCCTCTTGTGCAAGTATCTTGAGCAGAAACTCTGATCCCACTTTGAACGGATAGATGGTAAATGTGCCCGAGGTCCCTGACGCAAAATGTTTATTCCTCTTGTGGGTGATTGTTATGGTAGTGTAGATAGGACGGAAATGGAGGAGATAGTTGTCCGGGTCTAGCTGTAAGTTAAGGATGAACCCTGTTGTGGCGGTGTATACTCCGCGGAGAACAATCTGTTGTGGGAGGAATGTAGAATTTTAGAAAAAAAAAATGAATTACACAAGGTTTGTTTTTTAGTGATGCCTAATTATTAAAAGCTTAAGGATTATTTACACAATGGATTTATTTTTTTAAATTTAGTTTATGTTCTGTTGTACCTGGGTCAAAATTCGACTATACTGGTAAAAGTAGGCTATATATTTTATCTAAATTATTTATTTTTCTACTTTATTTGGCCAATGTGTGTGCGTGGAGGGGGGGGGGGGGTAAATTAAATAAACGTTCTAATATTATTTATTTGTCACAATTTTTATAGATAGAGTGCAATACACACAAGTACATCACTGTTTATTGCTGACTGGACCAGCAATTTCACATATTTAACTGCTGGTGTAAATCACAGTTTCAGATAACAATGAGTAATGGAAAACAAATAGCGCACCAATTGAACAAAATGATGTGCGTATAACATCGCAGAATACAGAACTTTATAAAGGAAATATTAATTAATTCTTTACAAATTAATTAATAATCAAATTGAGTCAAATTTAATGTCACAATGCATTGTCACCAGATCTTGAAAAACGTGTCAAGTTGTAAAGAAATTTGTCAATTAGAAGTTAGAATTCTAACTATGTTGTTTTAAAAAGCTCTTATTTATTTTTGCTTCCTCTGTCTTAATCCTGTCTGTCTAGATCGAAACGGGAGAACGAAACTTCGGACATTTTTCATTGTAGTTATTAAAATAGTAGTATATTATAATATACGAGCTAACCCGCGACGTAGAATACGCTGCTGTTTATTTGTTTTACTTTCTACTTTTCACTAATTCATAATTTGTGTATTCGGCACTATCAATGCTGTAAATGAAAATACTTTGCTTTGAAACACAAACAGTAGCTCGTGAAGGACGATTATCCCCACCCTCACTTTCTACTCCACCCACTCCCTCCCCCCCCCCCCCCCCCACATCAGCCGTCCGTGGCGACAGTTTACAGACGACAATGACAAGATCAAGCAGAACTTGTTATTACCTCCCCTTAGTTTCAAATCGTTTAACAACTAAATTATCTGCCCTTACAAATTTTCCCCTTTTTAGTGCAATATTACATAAAAGCTTGTTTAAAATCTTATTAAATGCATCTTTTTAATTATCCCTCCACAAAAGATTTACAAAAAAAATAATTTAAAAAAGCCATCAAGAAAGATTTAAATCTTGGTTCTTTAAAATAAGAGGAAGTGACGTTTACTTTTAAATCTTAATTAACACAGATAAAATGCTGAAAACAATGTCATTAATACATACAACGTTCAAACTTTTAATTCATGTGTTTATCAATCCTAAGCTTTAGAATTGTTTTCGTCACTTACATTATGCATCAAAACATTTGAAAACAGAATGAACACATGGTGAATATAAAAATTACGGGAACATGTTCGTCATTGTGATTTAAAAGAAATTGGTTAAATTTAATTAAAATATTTTTTTTTACTAAGAACCCTCATTCGGACATAGTTTTTTAAAGGTAAATTAAAAATTTGTTTAAGTATATTTACCGTATTGCCAATCGTAAGTCCACAGGGTATATCAAGAAGTTTGGAGTCCTTGGGTGTTATGGTAAAAGGGCTCCATCCAAAGTACCGACGTATCCCGGAGAATGTTTCATCTTGCACCGTGTCAGAAACAACACACGTGACTTTTGTGTGACTACACATATTGCACAGTTTCGAAGTTTTATTGTATTTTATAGCCACGCATTCAGCAGTTTGTAAGCAAGTTTTGGTGCAATCAATTTGTGATTTTCTAACAATAGAAGTTGTTGCACTTTCGCTACATCTAATGTACTTGTTTTGTTGAAACTGGAATGATGTCCCTATTCTATTACTGGATATTTGTCCGCGACAAAAATAATTTAGACTGCACGAGAAAAGTATCCAATACAGAAGACACATGATAAGTAGCAAAAACTGATTTTTAAATTTAAAAATACTTTAGGTAAAATTTATTTTGATTTTATAAATTTACCGTAAGTCAAGTGCTATGAATTAGAAAAATAATATTTAAAAAGAA